GTTTTTATGCAACTTAAAATTGGGTACTTGATTTTGCAGTGTTCATGGACGAGCACGTGATGGCAAATATTGGTCGATTTGTTGCGTCGTCCTTACCCACTATAACCAGCGGTGTTCGTTTCCGGTATACTTCAGTTTTTGTCAGCGCCTGTTGCCTCGGTGTCTTTTGATCTATGTCCAATTTTCTACACGCTAAACGTCGCCATGAATCTCAGGGAGTTCCCCAGTGAGCCCATTTAATGTCGTTGAACTTTAGTGTATCTCTAGTTATTACTAGAATCACGCAAATGATTCCCCGATGTTTGTTTTCCTCCTGTTACATGGGATATATAAATGATCTTAGCCCTGGTTTCAATATATGAGAGAAGCCACCTCACTCCTGTTTCGCGAAAGTATGCAAGAGGTATAGAACGTGTAGTGGGTAGGCGCACAAACATATCTAACTACAGCCACTTCAGTAACTTACATGAAGCTATAGCCCCTATAAGGAGCGTCACTAGTGTGTTGTGCGTATGACGGAGAACTTGAACTGTTGATCGTGGGATGATATATCGTAATAAACTAGACAAATATAAGCAAAATTAGAGAAACACTATCCTCATATATCTATACGAACAGAGTTTGATGCATTCGGATAAAGTGCAGATTTCCAGGAAGAAACGTTCGGGCCACTTTGAAGCAGACGCATATCGTTAGCACACACGGAAACTTTAGGTACACTAACAATTACCACTTATAATCACTTTGCTGGGCGCCGTTCCCGCGACAGGAAGTCGAACCAGCAGCCTTGCCTATGAGTCACGATGCAATGATCGTTGTCGGGGTGCCGTTGGTGACGTTGTGTAGGACGGCAGCCCGTGAAACCAATACACATAAAGTAACACAAAAAGAGGATGAAAGTGTGTGCGAAGGCCCAAATGATATCCGAGAACTTATCGCAAGGTACTCACAATTCAGTTTATTGGCTGTCTTTCATACAATTTTTATTGCATTGTTACTGCGAAATGGACAAGTAGAGGAGAATGCTGGAGAATATGACGCACCTTTATCTCACCCAGAGTCGCACGTCATTCCACGCATTTAGAGTTCATTTCTCGCTGATTTTGTAATGCCTAACAGCAGCGTTGACATGAATACGCACCTATCTATACGCACGACAAAGAGGATATGCTGCCCATTTTTGACTAAGTAATGCGTTTATTTCCCCCATTGGAACCTTGAGAAGTACTGACAGTATTTTAAAGGATATCCGAGAACTTATCGCAAGGTACTCACAATTCAGTTTATTGGCTGTCTTTCATACAATTTTTATTGCATTGTTACTGCGAAATGGACAAGTAGAGGAGAATGCTGGAGAATATGACGCACCTTTATCTCACCCAGAGTCGCACGTCATTCCACGCATTTAGAGTTCATTTCTCGCTGATTTTGTAATGCCTAACAGCAGCGTTGACATGAATACGCACCTATCTATACGCACGACAAAGAGGATATGCTGCCCATTTTTGACTAAGTAATGCGTTTATTTCCCCCATTGGAACCTTGAGAAGTACTGACAGTATTTTAAAGCACCCCACAAGAAACACTTTTTTTGTTTCATGGTATGCACTATCAAGGGTCTCAGCACACCGCAAATAGACAGAACGTAGAAAAATATTTCACATTCATTTGAACGTTTGTGTCATTCAGCCTCTAGAGGCCATCCCTACCGCAATGAACATTATCACGGCAAGTGAACAAGACTCAATGGGTTTGCGGAATCTGCGTCCTTCATACAACCCAAATCGACGAAATGGTTGTTAGAGGCTTTGACGATAATTCACACGCTGTTGCTTTCGCAAACCAACTGCCACTGGCGGCTAACCGACAACTGTTGCTACTATGTAGCGAGTTGCATGTCTTCCCGTGACGTCGAACTTGGGCTGACAAGAGAAAGAGAAGCTGTCCTCTCGATACATAACCCAAATAGAGGTCTTAAGGCGGCCGTATCAAAAATGTACTGAATGCATTCCCAAGCACTATGATACTCATTTCAAGGTTCTCCCTACTTGTTTTTTTTTATTTAGAGTGACAAGCACAAAACATTCGGAATTCACGTCAGTACTTCTTTAAAATGGGAATAAAAAATAGATCGAGTTCTATAGCTCTTTGACGATGCATGGTCAGTGAGGCTGCGTCGCGAGCAGCGCAGAAGTGACAGTGAGTTTTGGCGAAAGGGACATAAAGGTAAATCATTTTCCTGAAAGAGGACGAAAAGTCCCTTTTTAATTGGACCTTTGTGCTACTTGAAAGTTTTCGAGTTGGGCTGAATGCACGTTTTTGTCCATACATGCACCATCGTGCGTAGTTTCGCTATATAATGCACTTGGCATTTCGTGCCCTATCTTAAAGGGCCATTGCAACGGCATGCGTATTTTGCCGGCGGGCTCCTTTTTCCGAAACCTTAGTGAACCATCAGTGCATCAGTATAGTGGCGTTTTCCCAATTTCTGAGTTACACACCTGCACTACCGGTTTTCTGTTAGCAAAGCTAAATATTAGCAGAGTTTAAGGAGTTACTGTTTAAGGAGTTATGATTGACCGGCTTAGTTTTATGAAGCTTCGCTCTTAAACGAGTGAAAAATAAAGAAATTATGGCCAAACTTCAGTAAGCCTTCAATATTAAGTTTTTACTCCACGCTTATTTGTCTCGTTCCTTTCTTCGCGATCCATCTTACCTCGCAGCCTACCGAAATGAATGCTTACCGATTTGCGCCCCTGTCTACGCTGCAAGAATAAATGTCTAAGACGTTCTCGAAAATTCTTCTAGTTGAGAGCGACGGATAATAATACAGTCGTTTTTTTTTCACGATTCGCGCCTAATGATATCACACACACAAAAAAGTGAACTGCGTGCGTTTTGGCGCCGAGAAAGCCTCATTTATCCTTTCCCAAAAATTCTGGATAAACGCTTATCAGACGACGTTGTTTTCACTTTTAGCCCTCTTTTCACTAATTCTCCTTCGTTTTTGCCGTTGTCTCATTTTACAGTGATCCGACGCAACCTCTTATCGAGAGGAAACTTTTATTTAGCGATGGTTTCCTCGCTCCGTCTGTCGGTGGCAATAAAGGTATGTATTTTTATACAGCGCAGTAGGGACGTATTGCGGCTATTTTGTAGTTAAAATGGGTCTCTTGCTCCTCTGGCGCAAGAAATGAAAAAAGTACGGAGAGCACTAGTAGAGAGTGAAAAAAAATTTACAAATTTTCCTCACAATTCTTTCCATGCATTTCTTTGACTTTTTTTCAACAACGAAAAATATATAAGTATATTCAGGCCGTATCACGCTTACGTTAAAGCTATTCATTTACGTATCTCAAGTAGTTCAAATTTACGCATGCCTGAGAAAAGGAAAAGAAAAACACCGAAGAACTCTGTGTAGTTCGTCCACAAGCGGAGTTTAAATGTTTGGCCACGGTGTCTACTGTTGTGTCAATGCCGACGCATCATTACCGACCATCTAGGTTATTTGTTACACTTACCCAGAAATATTATTGTTGTTTGCTACCCGTCTGTTCTCTTCTCGATATTTACTAAATGAGTAATAAAATTCGCCCATTTTCTGTGGCACATACATATAGTAGCAGTTATAGCGCACAGAGAGACGTATGAACTTTGCTTTCAATTAGCCATGTACATGCTTAGCCCCAGAACTTAAAGGTATATCAGTGTTATAGGAAGTAAACACAGATGTCGCGAAATTCAGCTTGCTTCATCAGCGACCCCCCAACATCACAGTTACACGCAGTATACTATTCTCTTCTATATTGGTCTTCTGATCATCGTCAAGAAGGATGTAGCCACGTTCGTATTCGTCCTCAGAAATGGACAAAGCTCACGAACACATTTATCTGCATCCAGGCGCGCAGCATGGGTGAACGTTAACAGTTCCTTGAGAAAACGCTACTTTTCGAGAACAAAATCAAGCCTCCACTGTCATGGCTGTAAAAGGGAATGGTGAACCCCGAAAAAAAATTTATTTCGCTATAGGCAGAAATTATACACCCTTTAAAAGGAAAGGAAAAACCGGTACGATGAAAAATGTTACTTTTAAAATGCAGTGCATCAAAAAATGTCATTTTTTGCGTTAGAACGAGTGTAGGTACTTTAAAATCGCACTCGTCTCTTCCCTCGCTCGTTTGTCGCCACAAGAGGGCTCGTCTAATATTATACTTATATTTTTTTTCTTATTTGCTGCCTCTAGGCAGCCAAATTGTTCCAGGTCACTGTTTTTGTCGAATTTGAATTCATATGCTGTATATATGCCACGTTACGATTCTACTTCCTGTAAACGTTATTTTTTTCTGAATACGGCTGCGAAATGAAATGCCCATCCTTCTGACATAATCCTCATCACCAACATTACTGGTTTGAAAGTTACCTTTCAACACCATCTTTTAAGTAACGGAATGTAAACTGGCTCACAATTTTTTCTGTTAGACAACTCCTCATTTACCATTTCGTGTCAGGACACTTGAAGTGTGATGAATAAATAATAAAATTAACAAATCAAGATAAAAATGTCTACCCTTTTAGAAAGTACGCGGCACAGGTGGAATTTAGCGAACAGATTTAGCATGGAGTACTTATGTGCCCTGCAAATAGTTGCAGACTGCTTATGAGGTTCTGTTAAGCAACGCTGTATTGAGTACTAATATAGAAATATCTGCGAGAATATACCTTTTTATGTAACATATCTTTATCTCTTTTTCTTTTCGATGAGTTTAATTTTTTTTTTACAATAGAACAGTGGAAGTCACCCGATTTAGCTTGCGATGAATACATCAAACAACCGTGCAACGTGCTAGCCATCCTGAGCTGAAACGAGCTTTTAAAATGACGGCTGTTTCGAGCTGTTTTAACAAACCCAAAAGTTCTAAAGGTTATCGTGCTTTTTTCGGTATTGGAGGACAACATAAGTGTATGCTTTCAATGTCGAGTAGTGCGTCTAGATCACTTACCTTGGTGTGGATCGACGGGAGCGGAGGAAGAAAGATGCCACGTCTCCACTGACAGCCTCAGTGCTCACTTAGCGAATATCACGTCACAAGTCCCGACGATGTCCAATCAGCGCCACTGACTACGACGCGAAAGTGAAGATTGAAGAAAACGAAGAGCTGTCAAACTGTCCTGATATACCCCACCGTTCTGAGAAGACAACTTGAGGAGCCGGTCGTATCACTCCTCAGGTTTGAAGCAAGCCGGCTTGATGTTCCCACGCACACGACACCACAGGCAGCGCGTAGCAGCGGAAAAATCAAACACGAGTTCGTTCTTGCGTGTGTTATATATGCACACGGAGAGTCACTGGTAAAGCTGGTATGCGACGAGACCGTACAGACAGCGGTGATTGCGAAAAAGACAGAAGCAACCGGGAGGCTGCTATCTTGTTCTAGATGCTTCGAGTGCCGCGAGTCGTCTGCTGCTGCTCGTGCAGTAATGTTCGAGATCTCGCGCGCGCCGCTGTATACGACTGACAGGACCGCGCGCAGCGCCCATGCTTTTTCTGGGCCGCCCGGCGAGGAAGACCCAATTCGGCCGTCCAATGCCTCGCCACTCCCCATCCTCCTTCTTCTTGAATCTCGGCGCTGTGGGGTCACACGCTCTTTTCTGCGCGCGCGCGTGTGTACGCAGTGCCTACTACCACCCCCGTCGTCTGCTGTACTCTCTCCCCCTTCACCCGCCTGCTAAGCTCTTAATCTGGTCTTTTTCTTTCTTTCATTCCACCTTTTTCCCGTTTTTGTTTTCGTTTATACGGGGCCGACGAGAAGGGGCGATGAAGCCGTGGTGCGGATACAGTGTGACCAATGGCTGGAGCACCCTCACACGACCGCGGGTCCCTAGGACGCGGCCGGAACGTCGACGTCACCCCCGTCACGCAGCGTTCGCGGTGAGCACGACATCGTGATCGTCACTGAATTAACTCGATTGCGTGCGCGCCAACTTCTGTTTCGCCGGTTTCGGAAGGTGGGCCTTTCGCAGACAGGGGGAAACAGACGGTGTGATACGAGTTACCGCAGGGTTTCTTCTTCACGCCGAGAGAGAGAAGCAACGATGTTAAGTGTCGAAATAACAAGAGAGACCTGCTCGGCTCGGCGAGGTTCTTCTTTGATCGTGGAACTAAAAAGCTGCGGGCACGTGTATTTGAAATACTCTGGAATAGGTGCCACGATTCGGTGGTAAGTGATTGTTCGCGTGCGACAGAGAGCACTCACCTGCTTTTTTTTTATGGTACATGATAAGCTGGATTGTTGAATGAACAAACAAGACACCTCATATATCTGCGATATGAAACTTGTTGAAGGTGAAAGTACCAGTACCACATTCACTGTCTACATCAACCCAGGTACGGGGAGAAATGACCTTGGAAACCTAAGCATGGTAGCGGTAACGAGCCTGTGTTGGAGAAAATCTAGCGATGGCGTTGTCGGGCTCGTTGGCGATCTGTAAGCCCCGGTGGACGCTAAGAATAAAATTCGACCAGCTGCGATTCGCGGACATCGATAAAACAGCAAAGCTGGTGGCTTTGCCTTTATCAGGCTACCACACTTCCATGTTTTGCAAGTCTTTTAGACATGCTGTGTCACTGCTCTTTGCTAAGATTCTAGGCGGTGGTATAGCCATCGCGTACTATAACCACGAACTAACATATGACTTTGGTGTGCCTATGGTAACGTGCCATGACATTTGTTGGGCTAATTGGTGCCTTCTTCCTGTTCAGTGGAACTTAAGTGTAAGGCACAAATGCGTTTATGATGATGATATTCCTCTTATATGCCCGTCCAGATTTTCGTGACACCAGCTCCTGAAGCTACTGCGGGAAAAAGTGACCCGGGGAGGCGACATGTCTGAGTAACGTCAATTGTGGTTGTAATTTTTGCGATCCGCATTTATAACAATATAACCAACACTTTATACGTAGAACTACCATCACGCAATAAGCATCAGTCAAACATTTTTCTGTCATGAAGTAATGCGTGATGGAGGTGAAAATGTTCGAGGCCCGTGTGCTTAGACACAGGTGCACGTGAAAGAATGCCAGATGGTCGAAGTTTCCGGAGTCCTCCACCTAATAATATCGCGGTTTTGAGATGCTAAACCCCAACAGTCATTGTTATGGAATAGCATAAAAACTTGTGACAAGAACATAATCGTAATTCAGCGACCACTTAGTTTCCACAAAAGTGACGTCTACGTGTGCCCTGACGAGTGTGCTGACGTAACGTTGAACCATGAGCTATCCTTGACACGCCGGTGAAGCCGACGCGCCTGGAAAGCCTACAGTGTGCACACAACTACTGAATTTATGCAGAGACGTTGATCAACCTCGTAGCGCCTGCTCAAGGAAAAAAAAAAAGGGGGGGGGGGGTGGGCAGGCCGGTACTACACGCTAACTTCTTCGCTTGAAATTGATTCCCGGAATGCGTGGAATCTGCCGTAATGTTTCTTACGCCATTCGTTACTACCTCTGTGTAAGAGTGAGCACCGTACAGTCAATCAGCACTGTCATTTCTTTGATAACGTTAATAACGTTATTGCTGAATAATGTTAGCCTGTTTCATAACGTTATTCCACATTTTGCCTCCTGGCTGAAAAAAGTGAGGGACAACAGTGAATTCATGGGGAAGAATGCATTAAGAGAAGTGCAAGGACTATGATTGGCAGACATAACGCTCGAATTTACTCCCGCATTGAAACTTTAATTTCTAACGTGTTGATGTGGGGTCCTGTATATTCGGCCGTCTTACATTGGGCGTGACGCTCTGTTTCATGTACGATAAGAATAACACACCACAATTAAACTCTAAATGCTTGTATTAAGCTTATTTCGTTCTTTAAAGTAAAAAAAACTAAACTAAACAAACAAACTTGTGAGTGATTTAGGAATAAGACTGCGCATGACTGAATTTTACTTCGGCTTCAATGAATAGTCCCGTTCCTAAGACGACGAAATAGCAATAGCCATTGTCACTGCGATGTCACGAAAAGATCGTTTTCCCACGTAAGGAAGCGTACAAAATAGTGCTACGTTAGACGTGTTTTAAGGTATTGCTTTTGGAGAACCACACCCATTGTCTTTTTGTACATTGCAGGAAAACTGTCACCGACATCTCAGTTTTATTGCTTTTCTCTTTTGTCGAGCTGTATGTATAGTGATCCAGGTTGCCTCTCAAATACCGGGCCTTGATATTCAATCATGGCTGCACTCCATCGCTGGTGCCTTTGTGGAATAAGTACATCTGAAACCGACGCCAGCCAGCCACGTGTAATGTATGGGTGTGACCACAGGGTATACCTGTGATGGAGAAGCTAAAACATGACATCAAGCACTACTGTCTAGGTATTCCAGGAAATCCATGCGACATAGATTTACGAGAGGTGCTGAGGTGCCGCGCCATGCGGACGTCAGCCAATCCGGCGCACAGACATCAAGCAGCAGTGAAGGGAGGGTGGGAGCGGGTGTTGTACCGTATCTTCACGAATGTAATGGATACACGTGCTCTCATTCCACCGTGTGTCTGCTCTCTCCCCCCTCACCTTCCTATAGGGCGGAGGAAGCTGTGCTTAGGAGGCTTCGGGCAGGGGTGGCCTTTACACCGGCCTTTATATCGTCATGGAACTGGTCACTTTTACAAGTTCCAAGTGATACGTGTCCGTATTGTTTCACTCCTGCGATGCAAGCAGAGAGATACCACCTTTAATGGACATGTAAAGGGTTGCAGCCAGAACGCTCCCGTCACCTCGCTCAAGCCGGCATTCGCTTCAGCGACCCAGCCAGTTACAACCGCTGGATACATGAGATTCCACAAGACACTACTTGACTTCATACAGAACACCGGCCTAACAGCACACATTTTACAAAAATATTATGCCCTAAAGCAAGTCTTTGTCACAATAAAGAAAAGTAACGAGATTTGCGAGTTGTCAGTACAAGTTGTGAAGTGAATTAGGTTGCATAAACAGATTGACGAGAAGCGTGCAACTGGTTATGTCAGCCCGCAGTTCTTGTTTATATATGCACTACTTCGTATTAACACGCGTTTGCGGCGCACCATGCAATGACATGCTAATGAGTAGTGATCAGGCGTAAGTGCGAAAATGTTCCACACTCACACAATGTTTTAGACGGGAAAATAAAAGAGCTTCACTGGGTGCAGCTCGTGATATAAGTGGCAACTATGAGCTTGATGAAGCCGATGATAATTACGACGACGAAGTAGCCGTTATTGTTGTTTCTTCTCATTGTAATCAGATCTCACACCTACAAAGGCGACTAGCCATGCCGCGAGTAAGACAGGTACATTAGAGACGGCAGAGGCTCTGTTTTTTATTGTCTGCTCAACGACTAAAAATGAGGGAAAAGGGAGCGAGCAAAATAAGCATAGCATATCCACGGAATGAATGATGATGAGTGGGTCGAAGCGTGCATCAATCCATCCGTGCTTCCTTCCATCCATTCGTCCGTCCGTGCGTCAGTCCATCCGTACGTGCACCAGTTCGTGCGTTCGTTTGGGCGTCCGTCCATCTGTGTGTCTGTCTGTCTGCCCATCTGTCCGTCTGCTTGTCTGTCTGTCCATTCATGCGTCTGTCCATTCATCTAGTAAACACTTCAAGTACCGCCACCTCGATTCTTTTTGTCATATATTCATCATATACAAGTACCACCACCATAGCCCCGCTGCGGTGGTCTAGTGGCTAAGGTACTCGGCTGCTGACCCGCAGGTCGCGGGATCAAATCCGGGCTGCGGCGGCTGCATTTCCGATGGAGAGGGAAATGTTGCAGGCCCGTGTGCTCAGATTTGAGTGCATGTTAAAGAACCCCAGATGGCCGAAATTTCCGGAGTCCTCCACTTCGGCGTCTCTCATAATCATATGGTGGTTTTGGGACGTTAAACCCTACATATCAATCAATCAAGTACCACCATCCAGCGGAAAATCCAAGGACTAAACAAGAGTATGTACCACATTTCTGCTGTCAGCGCTTTGTTAACACCGAGAGCGTGATAACGACGCCATGCTACGTTTTTATCAACATGTGGACATGCGGTTATATGCCTGATGGCGGGTAAGTGCCACTGGTATGCTGGCACATGCCACAGGTTACGAACTACGAGAACGGGGGACGCACAAGCCACGTCATAAGGAGTTTCGTCCCTAAAAAAAAGAGAAGATAAGCGCTGGTCATTCGCAACATAATACATCAGATAGTATGCGTGGGCATGCCTACCAACGAGCTCCAAGCTAGTCTTTACAAACTTTATGAGAGCAATGCGGAAAAGGATATGAAGGCACCATGAAAAAAAATGGCCCGTATCTGCATGTTTCACTGCAAATGTCGCCGAAAGATGATAGTCTTGCGTCTGGAGAGAGTGAACAAAACGTTCATTTGATGTTTTGCGCAAGAAAATCG